CACAAACTTTGATTAGTACTCGGAATACGCATTAGAGGTGTTGTTAGCTACAAGTTTTATACAGGAAATCCTATACCATGATCGGGCTTCGTTTTACATATTGTTTTAATATTTGAACTGAAGATTTTTTCCAAATATTTATGTATAAAATTAAATATTTTCGGATTTTTTATTAAAAAGTTTTAAAGGCAAATTTAATTATTATATTGATCGCTGTTTATTTTAAGAAAATAATATTTGTTTTGTTCAATTTTTTCTCATAATTTATGTTTTCAATAACAAAATTCATAAAATATAATCTACTCAATTTCACTAATAAAATAATTATTTTATTTTCATACTTTTCCGAACATTTTAATTTCTACGAACGAACGAACGAAATACATTTCTACGAACGATCGTTCGTTGGTGTTCGTTGACAGCTCTGACTATAACAAAACTCTCAATATTTTTTTTTGTGACATATCAGTTAGATTTCGATTTGTTTCAGTTATGTTTGATAGCTTTAGCTTTTCATGTTTTATGATTGTTTTTATTTTTCACTTAATGGAAAGCTCATGGCGTTCACAAACTTATATTTATGATAAAGAATTTATCGTTGTGGTTGACCTATAACGTCATATTTTCCGTATGAAAAATGTTGAAAATTCCAATTTTTCAGTAAGTGAAAATTGCACAAATAGTTTGCATATATGTTGAATGTATTCCGAACTTTTTGCCAACAGGGATTGTATACATTATCGTTTTTATCTCAAAGTCGGTTTAGCATACGAAAAAAAAACACCATTTCATTAACAAATTATTTAAGAGGATATCACAGTTGGAAATTTCGTTCGTAACAACTGGTCTTTCATAACAGCTTTTAATTGATGCTTTTATAATAAAATTTACTAATGAAGAAAAAATACTTTGTTCGAATATATGATTAAGTTAGAATAAAAACCAGACTTGAAATAAAAATCTATAAAACACAGCATTTTTCGCATGAAAATCGCTGTGTTCTACTTTTAAAGATTTTTATATCAAGGGTTTTTATTTTGGCCCATTCATATATTCTCTCAACGTAATATATAAAAGAAACGAAATATTTTAATAATTAATTCATTTAAATATTTAAAAAATGTGTGTGGTATTATGAAATTTATGTTCACAATAGTGATTGTGGCCATCGACTGTGCTATTTTTGAAATTTTATCAATTGTCCCACATCATTCAGTGTGCACAAAGAGAGGGTTTTTAATCAGTAAAACTGTTGACCCATTAGTGGAAATGTGCATTTGGGAAATTCAGCTGGAGAATTTGATTAAGAATGTCACAGATGTATCGATACAATACAGAATTAAATTACAGTATAAAAAATTACTTGCACAAAGAGAGAGGGGGAGGGACAGAGAGTGAGAAAGAGAGAGAAAGAAGAGAGCCGAGCAACACTCTTATATTGTAGGGATTACCCCAAACAAATTTTCGGATTTTTTTCTAATGTTACCCCAAAAGTAGTCAAAATGACTCCAAATGGAATAAATTATTATTTTGTGAACATAGAACTATTTTTCACAATAAAATTATTTTAAAACACCCAATAATGTACTGACAGTTCTAATGTGGTGAATTTTACAACAGAACGTTTAAAAAATCTTTATGTCAACGAACGTTGTGAATAGTCCAACAATCGTTGTCGTTGTGAATACGTACAATATACAATGAAATATGTATATTCACAATGACAACGATTGTTAGACAATTCACAACGTTCGTTGACATAAAGATTTTGTGAACGTTCTGTTGTAAAATTCACAACATCAGAGATGTCAGGGTGTTTCAAAAGTAATTCGTGCTTCCGTAAAACTTCAGAAAACAATATAAAAAATTTGACTATGAAAATTATTTCTTTGTTTACAAAATAATAATTTAATCCATTTGGAGTCATTCTGACTCCTTTTGGAGTAATCATGGTAAAAAATCCAAAAATGTGTTTGGGGTAATCCCAATAATATAAGAGTGAAGAAAATGAATAAAAATGAACAAACCTACTTTTGCGAGACCATTCCATTTGTGCGAGTGGTGGGCATTAAAATAGTTTGTGTTTCGTTTGAAAATTGGAATGCACTTTGCAATTTATGGATTCTTTGCCGATCATGACACACAATGAATGTACGTACATTTACAAGAGAAAAACGTAAGCCTGTTTTCGACAGTATAAATGTAGCGAAAACGCGAATGCGTCCTATTTCCAATGCAAATCATGTGCATGCTTTTGATTGGTGTGATGTTAACTTGCAGCGACACTATGGGATTTATGAAATTTTTCCACGTTTTTTTTTCTTCATCTTTTTTCAACGGCGGAAGAAAAAAAAATTTCGATCATGTTGTCTGAACTTGTGCTATTAGATAAATGTCGCAGCTTTTCCTTTTTCATACCATCATCAACCATCATGAAGCTTGTGAATCATGTCATTTGAAATGAATATTAAATGAACTCTTGCAAGCTAAATGTGGCAAACATTTGAATGTTCGACGTGAAGGGATTAAGTTTCCTTTTTGTTGTTACACGGTCTTTTTTTTCTTTCTCCCCTTCATACACATACATACACCTTGGCTCATCATTTTCAAAGAGACAAATGCTTTTTTCCATTGCATCGACGATCGTCGATTATGGAACACCCGCGTGCACACCATGATGTGTGTGTGAGTGTGTCGTGCATAATTCTTTGCTTAAGTAAACTATCAATTAAACATCAGTTGAGTGGTCGATTCCATTGAAAATCAATTGAATGCTAGATTTCTAACGGTATGCGTCAATTTCATGCAGCATGACCATTTGTGGTCATACGCAGACCTTTTCCAACACTATTCGTTATGAATTGAATGGGGTATGTTCATTGCCATTGGGGTAGTCGTTCGTTTGTGTGCACAATTTTTCGGTGTGCGAAAAAAAGAGTCATAGTGGACACGTTGGAGATATAGTAAGAATGAAAGAAGCGTTTTGTTCGATTATTGTTGGTAATTGCTTATTGAAACGTATCGAAAAACTGATTCAGCTGACTAAGCGATTGAATTGAAAAATAAAATAAATCATTATCGTTGTGTGTGTGTGTTTTTTTTTTGTGTTACGTTCAACGTTGCGTAAAAAATTGATAAAGTGCCATTAATTTGTTTCAGTTTTATTCAGCGAGCGCGGCGGAAACAAAATCATTCGCCACCAATAAAAATCGATATTATCCGCTATGTAGTGCCATTTCCCTCTCTGTCACACGTATGCCTCATTTTGTATCCATTAAGATATAATGCATATGTGTGCGACTTTTTGTTCGGTTACATTCATGGCGAACTAATTGAGAGTGGTTGGGGATTGGCATTAAATTTATTTTTATCCTTATCATTCACATGAAATTGAACCGAACAAATCAATGGACAAACGAACCATTGTAACGAGTATTGGCGAGATGGAATGGTAATCTGCCCAAATAATTAGCATTCATACAGACAGTATTTTTATCGATGGCTTGTGAGAATGATGTTGTCGAATTTCAGTCGAAATTAAGCACCATCAGCATCATTCGGCTAATCAAATTATTTATCAATCTTGCTTGAATTGGCAATGATACGGCGCGAGACAATAGCCTAACGAACACACACATATATTTCTACGTTCCAGAAGTCTTATTGAGGCCCAGAAGCGAACGTCCGACCGACGACTCCCGAATCCGACTCAAAAAAATTCTGGGTTGTTTGAAATTCCGGCCGGATACTTCAGATTTTTCGGATATTTTGGACGCATGAAATACCGAGTAGTCCGATCTGGTTCGGACAAACATAGAAACTATTTGGGTGGATCTCGGGCCGATTTTGATGCTCCTATACATCCTCTGCTACGTACACACACAATTGATGTATATACAAAAGATTCTTCTTTTAGTTTGGATAACATCAAAAATCAATTTCATTGATTTGGGAATGAGTCAAGTTTAGTGAAACTTATTCACTCTTCTTTGTTTCAAAACATCAAGCAATTTTATCTCTACATTTTCGTACAATAAATGATTTTTTGACATTGGTCGGAATTTGAAAACTCACACAAATTTCGTTGTTTAAAATAAAAAGCAAAACTATGAGAAATGGAAAACCTTTAATTTCTTTTACAAATTTTTAACAAAAGTTTCATTACACGAAATGCATGCTACTCGGCGGAAAGAACGGTGCAAATGCGTTCAAATAGATGTACCCTCCAGATTAAAATAGGTAAGAAAAAAATGTCCCCTTGATAATGTGAGGCAGAATCATTAGCATGGTTTTGCTGAAGAAACAACATCGTTAAAGCTAGCAGCTTCAAAATTTCCATGATCTAAAAATGGGGTGAAGCATTTAATTTCTTATTATTTAAAATGTCAACGATCATCAAAGAAAAAGGCCCCATTACCTGTGATGCTGCTGCCTGGAACTCCCTCACACCTACCTTCGCAAAACGAATCAGCGCATAAAACGACACAGTTACCCTGAGTATCCACAGATGATGCCCTGTCATCGATCTGCGGTGGAACATTTGTACATCCATTCACTTCAAATGTTTCGGAATATCCTGAAATCAATGATATAAAATGTTAATTATTTTATGTTTGACTGAGTTATTGAAGCTTGAAAATACCTTGTTGCCATTGATCATCGTAGAGAGTGATGTAGGTACCGTCTTTGACCTGTGCGTTCAAATTTTTACAGTACAAAACTGTAACCAGCAAAACAGCAAACAATTTTGATGAATTCATTTTATTGATGCCTTCTTGCCTTCTCAACACTTTGTAAAGATCAACTGAGTTTCTTCACGCTTTATATAGTCGAAGCGATCGGACTTAATCAATTTCACTGATCAATGTCCGTAAACGTCATTAATAGATAGCAAACGTGTTCATGACGTAATTGATAGCACATTTACTTGTGAACGAAACAACATTTCCTATTTACCATATTTGATTTGAGTCTATTTCGGTAATAATTCAGTAAACAAATGTGATTGATTTGCAACAATTTACGTTATGTAAATTATAGAAAACGAAATCTCCATTTTTTATCAGCATTTTGAGCAAGAACATTTATCGCACGCAATTTTTTTATCGAAACACTCTTAGATTTGATTCCAAACGAATAATTGATCATGGCTAACAGAACGCAACGAACTATTATTCAAGTAATATGAATATATTTGCATTTATTCGGCACTAAACACGGATTCAACGTCTTACATTGTAAATGTACATCTTAATATTCAAAATATTAGATAAAAGTTAGATGATATTCATTTACATATATTACATCACATCTAAACGATGTACTAAAACAGAAAATCCACGTTATTGCTATTAGTGTGAAATATTATGAACATATTTTTCAATTTACCAATGGACCCATCTCAAATAGATAACATTTGAAATTTGAAGGTTTTTTGTACATGTAGATTTAAGATTATAATCTAATTCACCATCTAATTATATACTTAGCACGCAATTTTAAATAGTTTAAATGACCCACTCAAAAATTATATACTTTTGTCGAAAAATTCATAAAATTTTGATATGTGGCTAAAAAAAGTTTTGTTTTCCCAGTGTAAATCGATTTATTCAATTTCAGTTGTTAAAATCTTATCAACACGGTGCACAAGATGCATTTAAATCTTGATCTTGACCTGACATTTGTGGGTACTATGTCGATTACGCTACACTTTCAAAATGTGTTTAGCAAAAAAATTATTTTACTAACTGTGGACCGGCCGTAAACTGATTATATTAAACGTCATCATGATAAGGAATTTCTCACAAATTCATTTTTAGTATAATCAACTATTTACTACATATTAATGAAATCATCTGCGACTTGTTCCATGTTGCTTGAATTGGCAACGATAAGGCGCAAGCCTGACAAACACACACACAATTGATGTACAAAAGATTCATTTACTTTATTTAGTTTGATTTGGATGAAAAATCAATTTCATTGATTCGAGAATGAGTCAAGTTTAGCGAAATGCATTTACGTTCCATTGAAACTCATTCATTTGCTTTATCAATTGACAGCGAAATCGTATTTTTAGACACCCTTCACAACATTGTTTGTTTCTTAATTATAGTGGCTGTTCCTAGTGCACTTTTAGCCATTTGGCCTAGAAAAAAAATAATCAATAAAATAACGTGCAGACACATCGTCAAATGTGTACTACGACAATTTCTCTGTGGGGTAAAAAAAGTGTGCGAGAAAAACATACACACACCTCGGATGATAAATAGAGAAAGCTCTATACAGAGAAAGAGAGGTAACGAACGGAAAAGGGTTGATATGAATCGTTAGAAGCTACCCACGATCTAGGCTAAATGAATGTGCATTAAACAAGCAATCGCACACACGCCATAAAATAAATTGCACATACGTAGTACAAATCCAAGCGCGTACACACAAACACATACACACAAGCACTCATTCACTCTTGTGTGGATCATGAGTGTGACAGCTCTACGAAAAGAAAAATTGCGTTTTGAGTATCGAAATAAAAATGAAACCGAAGCACATGGTAACCATTTTGTTCTGTATTTGATATATCATAGAAGCGGGAATTCATTCCGAGCGATATTCATATGACAAATGATGGTCTAGTAATTCTAACAAGCAAACAATGATCCTATTTTATTGTTTTATACCAATTGAATTGGCATTGATGCCACTGCTGAGCTGGCTGAGAATGAGATTTTTCGTCCTTAGATTATATGTTTTCGTTTGCTTCTCGTTTTTTTTGCTATGAATGCAAAAATCGATTGAATTTTTTTCGCCCACGAAAATACCATAAATCGTCGCAACCATGCGAAAAAATGATTTCAATTTTGGTGCCTTTCATTGTAATAACATTTACAAAGTTTGCATTGAATTTGAAGAAGAAAAAAAAAAACATTATTCTCTTGCCAGTAAAACATTTGGATACTGAACTCTTTTTTCCAGAATAACCAAATCACATTCATAACATGACAGGCGGTTTTCTTCATATTCATACTTAGTCTCTGTATATATGGCCATTCCATGCATATGTTGTTTCCACATCGTTGGCATGACACACACACGAACAAAAAAAGAAACGGACCAAAGTAATCAAAATGTGGAATATCAACGACGAGTGAGAAAATACCTGCAAGGAAACATTTAAAATGAACCAAAGCAAAACTTGAAAAATGTGCCCACTTTGAAAATATCAGAATAAATATGACAGTGTTTTTGCTTGTATTTGCTTGTACTTGCTGGCCAAAGAATGTACATGTACATACTTGGCCACTGAAATATTTAACAAAACTAGCAAATGGCGTTATAATACAATAATAAGAACATTCGGACTCAAATGTATGGCGGTGGTAAAATCACAAGTGCGCTGCATGAATAAATATTTGCGAACCCAAGCGCGGTCGCTCATGACGAATATCTTAATGAACATAATCGAGTATGGACGAAAATAATGTAAGAATGACACACGACAACTACAACGGTACGGCCTGAATAAAATGAATTTTGCCAACACAGTAAATGAATGGCGTGCGCATCAGCCAGAGCATTTGTAATGCTGGTATTTTACATGGGATTTCATGGTTCGTGTCATTTCAACTATATAGCATATATACACTCACAGTTTCACATATATAAATGATATTAGAGTTTCTTCATAAGCAAAATGCTAGTAGCTATCCCAACGTAAAAATGAAACTCTTATCAAAAAAAACTTTTCGGAATCAATTTGTGTGTTCCATAAATTTTTACCTTTGATACCTTACAAAATAACACTTGGCTAAATGAAACCAGCAATTTATTGAGAGATACACACACACAATTTTCGACACAATGTCATAGCGCTCAATCTCTTCTTGGATTTTTACATAGGTGCTACATTTATTACGTAGAATATGTGTCATTAACGTGATTTAAGACTTAATAAACACGTGGCAAGTGCGTTGATAGCATTTGTTTTGTCATTTGAATGTCTTCGCATGAAAATTGTACAAGGCGTACACAGCAGGTTGAATTGGCAATGGCTGTGTGTGTATATGGGTGGCAAAAGTGGTAAATAACGACAGATATGCGTACGTAAACATGAGCACAAGTACAAAATATATTGTACATTATATTGCTAACGCTTGCACACAACGCCCTCTAAATCCTTCGTGCATCTTATCGCTTTTATCAAAAACCGTAAAACTGTCTTACCTTGACAAAAGCTTTTTTTTAGCTCATACGTTTTTTTAACTCCTTATGAAGCTCAATTTTAAAACGTTACGAAATTTCTCATTTTTGTATCGTTACCGAAAGAGAAAAATGATCACACAAATCCGCTCTTCGTTCCGAAAAATTTAAAATGTCATGTTAGCACATTTTTCACAGCACATCCAGATGAGATGATTATGATGACAGTATTCATGACGTTCAAATATTTATGCAGAAGGCGGGGGGGGGGGGGGGGGATGTTCTGTGTACTAAACAACAAAAACCTAATAATAAATTCTCTGAATTGTTTTTGTTGCTGTTTTAATTGGATTTTTAGAGGCATGTGCTTCAATTAAAATGGCAAAGTGAAAATTGAAAAGACACACGCTTTCATTGTATTCGAAACTCATGTTACTGTCGATGTTGTAAATAGTAACGCTAGATAATTATTGTGCCATTTTCGATGTACGTGATCAATACTTTTGATATATGCATTCACAGTACATGCAAGAATTTTACTTATCACTTTATAATCCATATATCTATTAATTTCATCTTTTTTTCTGTTTTAATTTGCAAATTCGTAATCATCATTAGTCAAATTGAATGATGTAGCGAAACAACAATAATCAAATGACAATTAATCCAAGATTCGTATTCTATAATTAAGCACTTTTCGTTAGTACACGCGCGTTTATCATTTTGGTATGATGTAAGTTTTTTTTAATGAAAGACGCAAAGCATTCATATCGTAAATTAAAGACACACATTGAAACACATAAAAAAAGCAATGTAGATAATTACCGAAATCGTGTAGCATGTGTGTTGTCATGTCATCTTGTTAAGCCTCAAAACGCACTTTTGAAAAGGGAAATTATAAAGAACGGAAAAGACATGCATTTGCTTAGAAAGGAACTTATAAATGCCAAGTGAGTGACACAAATCATTGATCTTGATGCGATTTTTTTATTTCCATAGGGTTCTGCCTCGAAAAATCGAAAAAATTTAGGGTCCACAAGAATGTTTTGAGGGTTCCGAAAAATGTTTGAGGAGGAGGTTTAATCTGAACCCTAAGAAGCCTCGTCAACCATTATGCTTAGAAAGGAACTTATAAATACCATATCACCGAAAAATGAATGTATCAATATATAATGTAAATACACAATAAACGATTTCATTTTAATGTACACAATAAAAGTCGTTGCAAGTTATTATATCATATGGTTGTGTTTAGGTTGGCATTATAAAATTTATTATTCAGTTTGATGTTGTTCAGGTCATTTCCGAGGTTATTTCATGTACCCGAAACTTTTCACAAACAATGCAAAATTAATTAGATTTAAATCCACGCGATTAAAAATTTGTAATGTTGACCCTTATCTCGTTTGATTGTGTTTAAAGCATTTTATGCAAGCGGTTCGGTATCTTTCGTCTTCATTGCATAAAATTTTAATCAGAGAAAATTGGTAAGCTTAAATTAAAATGCAAAATGCACGATAGAAAAAAAAACAAAGGTTACACCAATGTGACATTACGTTATTTGAGTGGACACAAGCGCGTGTATCGTGCAATGGCACAAATGTATATATCTT